GTACTGGAGCACCTCTCAGGCAGGGGCTCTGAAGGGCTGTCAGGGTCGCACTTCTCATGTTTGAATGCTTAGTTCACTAGAATTTGTGGTGGTCGCTTGCGTGAGGTAGACAGTGGACTTGACTTTTTTACAAATCATTCCAAAGCATTTATTGGAAATTGTGCCTGGTCCATCACCCTGTTTCTAATCTGCCTGGAGCTGTTATTTAGAATATGTCACACACACACACACACACACACACACACACACGGACGATCAGTTCATGAGGACTGGATAAAGAACACTCGGGCGCGTTCCTGGGGCTCAACCCTCAGCTCCGCACAGTGTGGGGCAAGCCCAGCACCCCTCCCGATGACGACCTTCAGGCCCAGGGAGATGCAGTGCGTTGGGCCCCTCTGAGAGTTTGCAGGGGACTCCTATGGGAATTGGAGGTTTATTGCTATAAAATTAGTTAACAGCTTTTATTAAATGTCAAAAGGTTAAATAGAATTTTCCTGTTAAATCCTTTTGATTTTAATTTGATATTCATTACAACTTAATTTGTGTTTTATCTTTCAATTTCAGTCATTTTAAAAGTAACTTTTTGGAATATATTTTAAGTACTTCCATTTTTTAATATTTTAAATTCCACTTAATTTGTATTTTTGTGCTCTTTGGATATAATCTTTTAATCTTTCAAATCACCATGGCCAATAGAATAGTAATCGTGTGCACATCTTGACTGTAACAGCAGAGTAGTTTTGCTGGAATAAAAGCATGAGTAATAGCTGTCAGAGGACGATGGTGTGGTGCCCCAGGAGCCAGGCCTGTCCTTGTTTTCCTACTCATCCCACCTCACTGAACACCTGGCTGTGAGCTGTAATGATTCAATTTGATCATCTTTGATCTGTCTTTCTGATATTTTATATGACTTCCAGAGCCACAGATTTACAGGTTTTATTGTTATGAAAGTTTGTTGAGTAGGCAGATAGAGCATATTTTATTAGCAGTTTATAGCTTGATTTATGACCTTCAAACTCTCAGATTGTTTGCGGGCTCTGTCCTTTTGCCTAGAGCACCAGAGGCATCCAGCCTGCCCTTAAGTGGAAAAAGCAGGTGTGTCCGCAGGTTCTCGCTGCGGTGAGGGCCAGAGTGCTCCCGAGCTCATGTCCCCAGGCTCATGGTCAAGGGGGAGCCAGAGGACTGGGCCAGGATGGGGAGGAGACCCCAGGGAGAAAGAAAATCATCTAATGTATATACATTTACCTCTTGCCACGGTTCCGTAAGGTAGGTCTCCCTTTACACGGGCTCAGAGAGGGTGTGTGAGTGGCTCAAGTCACACAGGCTGCCTGGCTTTGGCCCCTGTTAGCAGGGTACCCACTAGGTGCCTCCCACTCAGGTGGGGCAGGCCCCAGGCCCACCTCTCCTTGGCAGGACTTGCCAGGCCTCTAAGTGGTGAGGTGGCAGCATCCTTGCCGACTGCCAGCTGCCTCGGACAGCCCCAGAGCCCTGTGTCCCTGGGCTGCCCCACCACCCTGCAGGGACCAAAGGGCCGCTGTGTCACAGCTACGCCTCAGCCCCCACTGGGCCCTGAGCCGGCCCTTCTCAACCCCAGAGCTTACCCTGCAGGGTGGGCTGGGGGCCCTTCTCTGCCACGCACTGGGTGAGTGGGCAGTGCAAGCCAAGAAGTGGCCTGACGGTGCGAGGGCGGAGGAGCGTCCCTGGCCACACCCCTGTCCAGCCTTGGTCAGAGAGGGCGCGCCATCCTTCTGGAAGCAAGCAGGTTCTGAGGAGGTAAAAGGCTGCCCCAACACCACCCAGGCAGAGAGGGAGGCCCTACCTCCTCTCGATGCCCCCTCAGCCCACTTCCAGGCCCCTGCTCTGACAGTGCTGCCTCAGGGACCCTGTGATGGGGACACTATGTCCCTCCCTCCAGTGCAGCTGGGCCTTAACCCGGTCCCAGACCAGGCCTTCCCGGGACCCTGCAGCCTCTCTTCGTCCTCTAGGTAGGGAAACTGAGGCTCCCACAGACCAGAGGCATGCTCACAGCTGCATGGCTGGGACCATGCTGGAACTGCTGTAGGTGGCCCGGCGCTGACGCTGGGCCTGGACTGCAGCCGGGGGACAGGGATCCAAGGGAAAGGCCCTGCACGGAAAGACTGGCCCAAAGAGGTACAGGAGTCCATCAGCAAGGGGCTGCAGGAAGCAGGGCCTGCACTGCAGAGCCCCCATGCTCCACCCTCTCCCTTGCCCCTTCACAACTGGGTGTCACCCCCTGCATGATGCTCATACCTAACATCCCGTCCCTGCGCATTGCGCCCCCCAGACACACATGCCCTCACTTGTCCCTGCTGGTCTGAGTGTGCACTCTGTGTCCATCTCCAGACTGGAGGGGCTGTGCCAGACCTGGGCTTGTCCTGGCAGGACGCTCAGGGGCCCAACAGACCCAGTGCTGGGATGATGGAGTCCAGGGAGGTGCCTGCAGTCAGAGAGGGCTTCCTGGCAGCAAGGACCCACGCTAAGGCCCCAGCACCCCTTCCCCTCTCCTAGGTTGCAGCTTGTCCTCTGGGCTCTCCCTGGAGTGGCCTGCAGGTTCCAGGAAGCATCCCCTCGCCTGTAGAGCTGCTTCCAAGAACCACGGCTCCTGGCAGCGCTTGCTCAGGATCCCTTCCCAGGACAGAGGCCTCTCCCTGGCCAGGCTGCTGGGGTCCCAGAGCAGCTGGTGTAGGCGGTGGGGGATGGAGCGTGGGAGGGGCCTCCGTGGGGACCAGGCTCTGGGAGGCGAGCCCAAGCTGTCAGCTCAGAGGGGTGGCCACACTGGCGTGGGGACAGGAGGTCAGTGAGTGAGTGCAGGCGTCCCGACGGTGTCAGCGGCAGAGGCAGGCCCGCTAAGCCCACTCACAGCCTCCGCACACAGGAGGCTACCCTGGGCTCAGAACTACACCGGCGTGCCACGCTCTAGCCCCACTCCCCGCCTGCCTGGGCCCCCAGGGTCCTACCCACAGGCAGATGGCACAGGCCCTACTCTGACTCAGAGCAGGCCTTCATCAGATGACCTTCAGTGGGACAGGCCAGGGACAGGAGTGGCTGCTTCTGAGCAGGGAAAGGGGGCCTGGGATGGTCTCGGGGCCTTAGAGGATGTGACACCTGTATTATTAGTTGTGTTATAATTTCACTTCATCTGGTTAAGACAGAGGAAGTCACCCCACCCCACCCCCCAGCACGTCAGGTCAGGTATGTAGGGGTCAGGCGTGACGGGCCCTGTGGGCAAGGACAGGGCCCAACCTCCCTCAAGGTTGCCGGGCCTACCCCTCTGGGGTGTGTCGTCCACCCGCATGCCACCTCTGAGCTGGCACCAGGCCTGCCTACTGGCCTGGGACCTGCCAGATCATGTTGAGCAACCAGTTCCTGAGAAACGTTGAAGGCTGTTTGGTTTAAAATTAACTTCCCTACCCCCTCAACACCCCCCACAGGCCTCCTCTGAGTTCTTGGAAGAGGCGCTCTGGCTCTGTCTTCCTGGGAAGAGGCCTCAGCAGCTGCTGCGATTCTAGTGAAAACACCGTGCCCCGGGTGGGGGCGGGAGAGTCCGCACCGCCTGCTCTGCCCTCTCCAAGGCCCAGGGTCACCCCGGAGCCCAGCACCTCCAGGTCGCCCACTGAGGCCCAGAGGATGAAGCGGGTGGTTGTCAAGGTGCTGACAGGGTGTGACTGCCCCCACAGCCTGCATGCCCCATCAGGCAGCCCCAGGCCCCCGTGAACAGGGGAAGGGCCACAGAGATCCAGCCTGGCCCCTCTGCAAAGGGCCGACTGACAGCAGACCCAGGGCTTTGATCTCCTTTGAGACTTAGGTGACTCAGAGAGAGAACCAGCCTGCTTGGTGTCACCCAGCTCAGCTGCCTAAGCTCAGCCTGCCTGCCAGATGCCAGGCTGACAGCGCCGGCCTGGCAGTGCTGCCCAGGGCCCAGCCCCTCCGCCAGGAGGCCCTCCTCAACTCACGCCCATGCTCCTCTCCTGCATAAGCCCTTCTTTGCCTGTGTCTCCTTGGCTTGTGTCTCTGGGGCTTTGGAGGGAAGGTTCCCTGAGAACCTGCTCACCCAACAGCTCCTACCATGGCCATGCACCCAAAGGGGCTGAGAAAAACAAAGAAGTGCTTGCCTAGTGGGAGGCCAGTGCGCGCGCACACGTGCATGCACCTGCAAGCGCACGACGCGGTGTGCGCACAGTGATGTTGCTCCGAAAGGGTTGGTGGGGGTGGGGAGCTGTGAAATTGTCCTTGGAAGGGGGCTGAAGGCTGAGGGGCACTTTTAAGAACAAAGCTTCAGCTCAAAACAGGCTAGAAGTGAACTCAGCTGATGGAGGAGGAGCTACTGGCTCTGGTGACAAGAAGGGCCAGGCTGGCTTATGGGTACGGGGTGGGGAGAGGCCCTGCATCCCTTGCTGGGCACCTCTCTCCTTGCAGTCACACCACTGTTGGTGGGTGTCCCTAGTGCAGACTGTGTGGTGAGACAGTCCTAGAGGACTGCATGGTGGAGCCGGGGTGTCCCAAGTTCCCGCAGCCCTCAGAGGCCCCTCTGAACCCTGCCTGCTTTCACCAGGCCTTCATCATAGAAACAGCCGTCTTTCCAATGAGCACAAGGCTTCAGCCACACCAAAGAGACCCCTGCTGTGGGCCCACAGCACCTCCTGCTCACCAACAAGCATCAGCACCACCCACCCTGTAGCCCCCCCAAAGCCAGGCCCAGCCACTCTGGGAGGAGGGGAGACTGAGGCCCTAAGAGGTTAAACTGTTTGCCTGAGGTCCCAGAGTGACTTCTGAGATTCGAACCCTGCCTGTGTTCTTTTTACATGGTTGATTTGCCTCTTCAAAGACATCCCCAGGGGAAACTCATGGGAAGTGTGTGTGTGTGTGTGTGTGTGTGTGTGTGTGTGTGTGTGTGTGTGTGTGTGTGTGAGAAATTCCACCAGAAGCCTAAGAGTGGCTGTTTTGGATCTTTTATGGAAAGTATGTTTTCTCCTCCCCAGGCTGCATAGACCTGGGAAAACTCAGGCTCCACGGAGATCCCCCAGGATGCAGTGGGTGCCTGAGGCAGGCACGAGGAAGCTGGGGAAGCGAGGGAAGGCTTCTCAGAAAAGGAGCATTTAGGTTGATCTTTGAAAGGTGAGTAAGAGTTTGCCCTGGCAGAGCTGAGCTACAGGGACCTTCCCAGATGGATGGTGCAGTGTGGGGGCTGTTTGCAGGGACGCGGAGTGGATGGCTTGGCAGTTTAGGAAGCCCTATGCTGGAGCCTGGCGTAAGGCGTGGGCAAGATATGGGGGAGCCTGTGATGATCACTAAGTGGGGAGGACAGGGCAATTCTTGTTTGAAAGCACCTCTGGAGGTGGTGGTAGGGCTGAGTGGTCCTATGAGGAGGCCACTGGGACGGCCCAGCCAGGTGTGGGTGATGGTAGGGCTAGATCTGGACAAGGCAGCCCTGGGGAGCATCAGGAGGGCAGCTGGAGGGACCAGAGACAAGGTGGATGGACCTGGAGACCACAGACTGGGAGTGAAGGTGGGGATTGTCGCCAGGATGGGCGGGGAGTGGAGGTGCGTCTGGGGGCAGCAAAGTGCCCAGGTCTGGACTGGGTGCCGCAAACCAGGTTGCACATGTTACCAGCCAGCAGGCAGCAGACTCCGGTGCAAGAGCTCTAGGGTGAGCGGGACGAGCCCTGGCCTGGGATTCAAAGCCCTGGGCTCCAGCTCCATGCGCCTGCTTCCTTTCTGGGTGACTGTGGACAGGCTGCGTTGCCCGTATCTCTGGTTTGCAGCTCTGCGGCGGGACAGACCCAGACGTACGGGCCCTCGTCACCTCCTCTGTGACTCCCCTCTGAGAGCACCGATACGGAGGGCGGGTAACAGGCCTCAGGGAGCGCCATCCTGGGCCTGGGCAAGGGGAGCAGATGGCTAGTCGCTACTAGAGCTGTGAGAGAAGTTGCTAGAAGGTTGGGTTGGGCTGCCATCGCCTCCACCCCAGCTCACGTGGAGACCAGACCAAAGGGTCTGTTCAAGGACTGGAACCCAAGGCCTTGGTCAGCCAGTGAGGGTGGAGGGCAGCTTCAGAGCCAATGTGTAAGGGGTCCTTATGGCTCCAGGGAGCTCCAGCCCATGGGGACCTCGGGGGCCGTCACACCTGCCCGGCCATCTCTCAAATGGGACTGAGGTAGTGCCGGCAGCAGCGGCTACAAGGCTGGGCCCGTCAGGCCTTCCTCGGGCTTTCATCCCTCCATACATCCTCAGACCCCGCTCTCCTCTGAGCTCACCCTCCCTGTTTCTGAAGTTCAGTGGGGTTGAGGGGGATGGACCACGTGTGCAGTACACAGTCCAGACCGGAGGGGAGGTCAGGGTACAGTGGGGTGTGGGGGATGGCCCAGCTAGGACTGAACCCCCAGGGCGTCCTCTCTTGTGAGGCTCAGCCTGCTGCCCCAGAGGCACCACTGCAGTGACCCCTGGGGCTGTGGGGCCTGCCTTAGCTAGGGAAGGAGCCCCAGTCCCCGCAGTCAGGGGTGGGGAGGACGCGTTCCCCACCAGGGAGAGGCTGTTGAGTCTCTGGCAAAGCTCAAGCCCACTTTGTACTGAAACCGGTCCAACAGGTTCTGGTGAAAGGGCTGCGCAGGCCATCTAGGCTCCGCTTCTCCTGGAGGAAGAGGGCCTCCCTGAGGTCCCCGGAATCCTCCTGCCTTCTCAGTCAGGACTTACTTCAGGCCCCTCACCCGTCTACTCCGTGGCGGGCGGTGTGCAGGGTGGGGGCGGGGCCCTGCGGCTGAGAGTTGGGCCAGCGCAGTGGTGCCTCTAGCCCTGTTCAGACCCGGGTCGGCCTTGGCCCAGCGAGGTTCGCTGAGCTGGCAGACTGAAAGCCAGGCCCAGAGGCAGGGGCTCCGGTGAGGGGGCTGTTAGGCACCCCGGCGAGACATGCCCACAACAGGAGAGGCCTGGCTGTCCCAGGAGCACCTCTGTCCCTGTGTTTCAGGGGATGTTGTGAGTCCAGGATTGATCTCCACACCCATCTCCCTGTGGGGCGCAGAATCCTCCAGGGCCCAGGGCCCAGCCCGCAGCCCCAGCTCCCCTCCTCCAGAATGCCTCCTGAATTTCTTTCCCTCCCTCCCTGCATGCCGTGTGTGCCAAGGCTTTTAGCATGCTGGCCCCTGGGGGGCAGACACCAGGTCTTGAGTCTGTTCTGCCCCTCACGAGCCCATAGCCTGCCAGATCCCATGCCACAACCTCTCTCTGGCCTGCTCCCGGCCCCAGGCCCTTGTGCCCACCCCCACCCCCATGGACAGGCTCACCCCTTAGGAACGAGCATCAGATCCTGGCATTCCCTGTTACCTGGAGGAGGTGCCCCACCACACCAAAATAACCCAGGACCTTCTGCCTTCCCCATCCCCTTAGCCCCCTGGGCAGCTGTTCAGACTCCTTCATAGGCACCATAGTGTCTGCTCCGGGCCTCTGCCCTGCGGGGAGGTCCACCCCCCCACCCCCCACCCCCCGCCGACGTCCTTTCCCTGAACCGTCTTCACAGCCAGCTCTTGTTCTGCTCAGATGCGCAGGCCCCGCGCCACCCAGTTCCAGAGCCTCTCCGGCCCTGTCACCCGCAGCGGTGTCCCCACACCCGAGCCGTGCTCTGCGGTGCCCCTGCTCTCACTCTCAGAACCTGTCCCGAGTGCCCATTTGTCCTCTTTGCATTGTCTCCCACCCAGCAGCCAAGGAGCCCCTGAGGACAGGGACCACGTCCCCGGGAAACATCCCCTGCATGGACTCCGGCCCCGCTGGTGCCTGAGGAGAATGTGTCCTGGTGCAGGACTTAACCATCAGTTACCGTCTGTGTGCAGTGCAGGGTTCTGTGGCCCACCAGCCGCTCCTCTCTTCCCCACCGTGTTGCAGGGTGCACCCCTTCACTAGCCCGGAGCTGTCCCCGGGGAGTGCGCTGACCAGGACTTTACGCTGGGTCTGTCCCTTGCTCTGGGGCCTGATGACTTGCCCTCCACTGCCCCTGCTCTGGGCCGGCATCGCTCACACCCAACAGGGAAGCATGGAAAGAAAGTAGAAGTGGAAAAATGTCAGGTGCCAGGAGTCGCTGGCAGCTCCTCCCCAGGCAAGAGCTGGACCTTGGCTCGAGCTGACGCGAATGTGAGGGGACTGGGGCCCTGCTGACCAGGCCAGTGTCCCCAGAGGCCTTGGCTGGCAAGGACGCAGGGATGAAGCCAGCATCTGACAGCAGCTTGCCAGGAGCTGCCACCCCCACTGCCCCGCTGCCCCTTCTCCCCGTCACGGCGTAGGCGGGCTGCTGGGGCCCCCAGGGGTCTCTGCCCCATTCCTCCCTCCCTGAGCCAGTCTCTTGCCCCTCAGCCTCTTCATCTGTGCAGTATGGGGGACGGCGGGATGCACTCCCAGCTTGGCGGGGGCACCGTGTGAGCTGCAGAGCCTGTGTCCCCTCTGAACGATGAGGAGTTTCTGGGTGTCATCGTGCTCGCCCTGGCACCGGGTGGGGAACAGCCTGCCTTGGGCCCTCCCTGTCCACTCCCTGCCCATGGGAGACTCAGATCTGGTGGGGAGGCAGACACCTCAGGCATCTGGGAACCAAATGGGCTGAGCTCCAGGCTGGCGCAGTGAGGAACGCAGCCACGGGGAGGCCGCGGTGGCCTGGAGGAGGCGCGCTGTCGCCCCGCAGCCGGCCACAGATGGTGCGGGCAGGACGCCTGGGCCTGGGCCCCTCCCCCAGCTCACTGTCACCCGGTGTCAGCTCCGTCCTTTGCCGTGGCTGTCCCCCGGCCCGCAAGGTCCTGCGCTCCGTAGTGCCTGCTTTTTGTCCTGTCCTGCCTCTTCCTTGTCACGGACGCGTGGCTCTGCAGGCCTCCTGCTCTGTCTGCCGGCATTTGCTGCTTCTGATCCACAACTTCCCATTGTCCAAGGGCCAAGAACACAGTAAGGTCAGAACCAATTCTAAAATAAGGGCTGGATCCTATGCACGAGGTTCAGAAGAGCCTTCCTGTGAGATATTAATATTTCAGGACGTAACAGGATTCCATGCAGAAGTGTTCCAAAGTCAGACCATCAAAATGAAGAATGTTTTCATTTTTGCTGCTCCTCACCCCCACTCTGGTGTGCAGGACATTGAGTGGGAGGCCCCCCCCAACCCCACCAGCCCCCACCTCAGGCCAGCCCCTGCAGCTGTGCCCCACTGCGTGAACAGCCCTTCTCTGGCCTCCCTGTGGGCAGGAATTGAGCTTCCCAGGGCCCCCCTGGGCCCTTGCCCTCCCTGCATCTTCTCCCCAGAATGGCTGGCCCTGGCTTCACGGACACTTGGCCTCCTCATCTTGAAAGCCGCTGCCCCCAGGCATGGTCCCCAGCACCCACCCCCCGAGTAATCTCCTTCCAGTCACTAGTGGGCACCTGTTCACATGGCTCTCGGGTGTGGGGCTCCTCTGCCACCACTCTGGCTGGCAGCGGCCCTGCAGGCAGTCCAGCTGGCCTTCACCTCCTGCCTCCCACCCACCAGAACAAGAGAGAATGAGGAGGATCTGCCCCCTGTCCCCTCCACTCCTCCCTGGGGCCCTCGCAGGACCTGGACTGCCACATGCTGTCTGTGGGCCTTGGTTGAACCAGGTGTGAAGTGCAGATGACCGTGGTAAGACAGCATCCAGAACTCAACAGAGGCCCCACCGAGGACTCCATAAACAAAGGTACAATTTTATTGTAATTATAGAGAAGTCAGTAGAAGAAAAAAACTGGGGTTTTGTTATCTTAATAATTTTATAAAATCTTCTCAGATGTGTGTCTTGCTCCCCCTCATGTGCAGGCCCCGTCCTGGGCAGGAAGCTGGCCCAGCACACACGCTCACACCAGGCCTGAGCCCCAGCGAGACCAGCTCTGTGTGGACGCTCCGCCCTGCGAAGCTCTGACGCCTCGCCTCTGTTCGCCCACCTTCACAAAACGGCTGCGGTCAGAAGAGACTGGGTATAGTCCCGGGTGAGGGAGTCGGCGCCCGACGCCATCCAGGACTGCCTTGGGTCCAGCAGCACGTCTCAGATTGGGGCTCTCCCCCACCAGATAGACCAGTGAGGCTGGGGTCTCCGGAGCAAGCAGGACGCAGAGAGGCGGGGCAGGCTCATGCAGAGACCAACCCATGGAGAATAAATAAATAAATAATGTAGGACTGCAGTCACCCAGCCTGCCTGCTCCGCCGTCAGGGAACTGTCACTGTCAAGTTCAGTTCCTCTGGCCGCCATCCTCCTGGAGACAGAGGCCGGTGAGAAGGAGGGGGCCTGCCCCACCCTGTGACTGAGAAACCAGGGCTGGCCAACTGCAGAGTCCAGAAGGCCGCGGCAGGTGGGGAGCCTGGGCCCAGCCCCAGGGGGAGACGGGGTCCTGCCCATCTCCCTCCCCTGACACACAGCTCCCATAGTGGAGCCCCCGAGCTGTGTGGCACCTCCCCACCCCTCACCCAGGCCTGACTCTTCCTGGCCCAGATGCCAGATGCTCATGGGCTGTAGGGCGACCGCAGGAGGGATCATGGAACCGAGTCCAGCTGGGCGGGGCCACCCCACGGTAAGGCTGGCTGAGGCCCGGCCGGGTCAGAGCTGGAAGGGGTACTGCCGGAGGTAGTCAGCCATGCGCCGGGGCAGTGGCAGACAGTCCACGTCGGCCACCAGGCGGTTGATGGCGAGTCGGCACAGGTGCTGTAGGCTGCGGCCACTGCTCCTGCGCACGAAGGGCCGCACCAGCTTCAGGTGCACAGCGGCCATGGGGCCAGGCAGTGCCGGTGCTCCAGGTGCACCTTCCTTAGGGGTCGGCAGGGCTGGGCTGGGCGCAGGTTCAGGGCTGTCACTTCGGGTGTCAGCGGCGCAGGAGGCCACATAGTGCTGTACGAGGCTGACCACGTCAGGGAAAGCCAGGATGCGTGGCCTGGACAGGCAGTTAGAGTCCAGGCGGAAGCTGGAGTCGGCGTACTCGATGCGCACATTGGTGGGGCCACGGGTGGTTTTGACCGACAGCGTGAACAGGTAGCTGGGGTGGGTGCTGTCGCGTACCAGGAACGTACCCTCTGGCATCTTCTGCAGGTGTTGCCGGGCTTCGCTGGCCGTGATGGAACCCCAATACCAGCCTAGGCAAGTGGAGTGGGGCCGAAAGATTACCAACCCAGGCAAGGGCAGGGCTCTGCCTCCCCATCAGACTTGGCGGGACAGGGCTGCGCCCCTCAACAGGCAGAGCTAAGCTTCCCCAGTCAGACTTCCAGGACAAGGCTTGCCTCACTCCTCAGACTCACCAGATTCCCGAAGGTAGGAGAAGGTCTTGGCTATGCACAGCAGGTCCTCCTCGGGGTCCAGCACCTTGGGCTCACTCTCTGGCTGGGCTGGGCTCTCCTCTGTCACCTCCTCCAGGAAGGCCCCAGCAGCCAAAGGCTGCATAGCTGGTCTGGCCAGTTCCAGGGACTGGACCCCCAGGGGCTGCTGCCCAATCCTCTCCAGAGCCAGCAAAGGACAGGGTCTAGAAGGTGGGCGTGGGCAGTGAGTGCAGCCCCTGTCCCTTCCCATGTCCTCAAGACCTCTGGACACTGAGCCTCAGTTTGCCCTCTGCCCACCCATGGGCTCAGTGAGACCAGCACCCACCTCCCACTTGTCATCACAAAAGGCCCCCTGATTGCTTCCCCTACATGTGGACCCTCTTTTGAAAGAGACCCCTACCCTCCTGCACTTACTAAACAATAAAGAGTCTCTATTTTGCACCAACTGAAAACACACATCATTCCATACAGGAATTTCTAGCTCACCATGGCCAGTTGGTGTCCCCACCACACAGACAGGATCCAGTGCAAAGAAGCCCCACACGGGTGCGCTCCCGCTGAGGTAGACTCTTCCAGAGAGGTGCCAAGATTATGGTAGGGTGCCCAAGGTCACGTGCCTCCTCCCCATGGGTATGAGTGTCTATCAGAGGGGCCTGGGTCCACCCTGACCAGGGCTTAGTGGCTAGAACGGTATCCCCAACTAGGTCAGATTCCCACCTGTTCTCTGCTCTTCCCAGTCAAGGGTCTGGGGTACACGGTGGCCTCTAAAGGCCCTGGCAAGTCCCACTGCCCACATATGAGCTCCAAGGGCAGCGTCCCCACCTCCTAGACCCTGCCCCGGCAGGCCAGCCCTGCTAGGCTCCAGGCTCTGTGACCTTACCCAGACCTTGCCCTTCACTGGTTTTCCTTTCCCCACACCCCAGTGAGGGCTCCTACCAGGCCGGGTACAGAGGGGCTCGGCCACACCATGTTCTCAGGTGGCCAGAGCTGGGTTACTGGGCTAGCCCCAGTCTGAGCAGTAGCTTCTCTTTAGGGGAAGCCCACCCAGCAGTGTGGTCCTGGGGCTTCCTGAGACCAAAGGACGTGGCCCTGGTTCCCAAGGAGGAAATTGCTGGTCTTCCCTCACTCCTCCCAAAATATATCCTCTGGCTGCACTTCCAGGTCTGGTCCCCTGCTGGGCCTCTGGACACTCTGAGACCCTGGGCCCTGCTCTCAAGAGAATTTACAACCCAAAGCCAGAAAAGAAAGGGTGTCATGGGGGAGTCAGGGTCTGCGCAGCTGAGTCCAGCAGATCACGGGAAGAGCAGGGGGAGGTGCTCCAGGCTGAGAAGGCTGCGCAGGTAAACTCGGGAGGTATTGCTTGTAAGGCAAGAAGAGGTGGGCAGAGGCGGGCAGAGGAGCCAGACCTGCCAGTGTAGGTTAGAGGCGACCCTTAGAAAATGTTGACACTTTGGCGCCCCACGACCACTCAGGAGAAGGGGCCACAGACCCTGGCACAGCACAACCATCTAGTACTTTCCCACACCCACTCTGGCTGCACTATGGGAGGTCTGGAATCCTGTTTGGGGAGTACGAGGTTGAGCCCCAAGAAACTGGCAGTGGCCGGCCTGCCTGCCGGGGCCCAGAGCTCCGCTCAGGCCCAGGAGCCTTCCAGGGACACTGCAGGCGGACAGCCCGTCAGGCCGGAGCCTCCAAGGGTGGCCATTCCCAGACAGCCTAGCAGGGCACAGGTGGGTGTGGGCCCCTCTAGGGCCGACATGGTGTCTGGGTGTGTGAATGGCTGTACTGGCTCCCACAAGCTCCTGGCGAGTGAGTGTGTATCTGAAGGGTGTGCCTGGCTGTGTCATCGTCATGGCAGAAGTGGGGGCTGGTGTGTTCCAGGTGGGGGTGGCCTGTACATGTATGTGCCTGCTGTGGGGCCCAGCTGGTGAGTCCTGCCTGGAGACATGCTGGTGGGCAGACTCAGCCCTGAGGGAAGCACCCCAGCAAAGCGGGCAGCCCAAACCTATGGTTGGGAATCCCCAGGCGGGCCCTGGCTGTTCTGTGGCTGTGCGGACACAGGTCTTGACAGCCTTGCTCTTGACACCCAACACTGGCCCTGGAACCCTGCGGTTAGAGTGAGAGAGAGTGTGGGACCCCAGAACTGGGGGTCCTGAGGATGAAGGCAGTATGGGGGTGTTCAGGAGTCCCCAAATTCAGGGAGGAGGAAGGGAGGTGCTGGGGATGATCAGGGGCAAGTACAGCAGGGGAGTCCTTACCCATCGAGTCTCTTGCCTGGAAACAGGACTGCTCAGAATGAGGGGCACAGCAGCCCTGCCCACCTTCCACCCTCCACTTGGTATTACACCTGTTCTGTAACAGCAGCCACTGGGCCACCTGCTCTCCATGGGTTTGGAGCACCCAGTCCCATCTCCTTTCCAAGCTCCTGTCGGATCAGTCTGGAGCGCCTCAGACCCCTGGTTGAAGGGGGATGCTGAGGCTCTGTGGGTGGAAGGGCTGTGCCAAGAATGCCCTGCTGAGGCCAAGACGCATCTTATCGGCCCTCACCACAACCCCAGAAGACTTTGGGAAACTGGGAGAAAGGAGGCAGGAGCCAATGTCCTTCCCACACTGGGATCCCACACTGGGCTGAGAGGGAATGGGGTGGCTGTAGGGGGCCCTAGGCAGACCGGGACAAACCAGGCGCTCCCAAGAACTGCTGGTCAGTAGGTGCCGGCCCGGGAACAGGCAAGGATCTCAGGGCGGCTTCCCAGGAAAAGCCCAATTGCTAGCCCACGGCCGGCCGGAGAGTGGATGATGGAACCGAGGGCAGGGGCTGGCCCAAGGTCGCCAGGAAACCGGGGACGGGGCGAGGGGAGAGTGCCCCGGCCCAGAAGGGGCCTGGGCAGGTGAGCCCGTCCGCTGCAGCCAGAGCCCAGCCCTATGCCATCCCGTGTTCCTCCCGTCGCCAGTCCACACGGCCCACTACCCACAGAAGGAGTGGGGGCGCTGGCGTTGTCCCCGCTCCCTGGGTCACCCCCGAGGTCCTACGGCGCCAGGTCGCTCCGACCCGTGAAGTCCTC